AACAACAAGCAAGAACACAAGGCCTTATGTTAAGCTCCAATTCTACCACAAACACAAACAATCAAACAGCTTCTAAGGGCAATGGACAATATATCTACTAAACCAAACAAGCCAGGATCAGGAAAGATGTTCGCTACAGCATGACATAAACAACAACACTTGTATTGAGATGTATTTTTCCCTCTTTGAAGACTTGGTCTACGTCATTTTAACATTTTTAACATTTGGCACAAAGGTATAAAATTGTATACGTGAATAGAAGTGAATTGGTAGCATATATTCAGAGCCTGCTTTTACTTTCTATGTAAGAGTAATACCTAAAGCATGCATCAGAAGGTCTGTTAGACTTCTGTCTAAATGGTCAGACCCTAGAAAGAGAGCTCACTGAAAGAAACCTAACATTTGTATTCAGGTTGCCTCTAAAGATGAACCTACTATTTGACTCAGCATTAAAAGGTATGCACAGCCAGGAATTGATGGTTTACACCTATAGTCCTAGCTATACTTAGGCTTAGGATCAGAAATCTAAAAATATAAGGGTTCAAAGTCAACCAAGGGGGAAAAAATCCTCAAGACTCTGTGTGTGTATGTGTGTGTGTTCGTGTTCTGGGGCTTGAACTAAGGCCTGGGCACTGTTCCTGAGCTTTTATGCTCAAGGCTGGAACTCTACTATATGAGCCACGGCTCTACTTCCAGCCTTTTGGTGGTTAATTGGAGGTAAGAATCTTACAGACTTTCTTGCTTCAAACCTTGATCGTCAGATCTCAGGCTCTTGCGTAGCCAGGATTATAGGCATGAACCACAGGTGCCCAGAATCCTCAAGACTCTAATCTCCAATTAACCAACAGAAAACTAGAATTGGAGGTGTGTCTCAACAGCTATAAACAAGCCAATCAAAATAACAAGGCCTTGAGTTCATATCCCAATACCAACATACATATAACACAAATGCTTACATAAGTGCATGAAAGACACAAAAAAGAAATTTCATAAATTCATAATTTGTAATAGTTCCAACCCTAAAATTACCTATGCATCCATGAACAATGGAATGAATGAATCAGGTTCAGTGTAGCCACAAATGAGATACTAAGAATTGGTCAACATGGATGAATCTCATAAATACAACATGATATATTCTATCTATCTATCTATCTATCTATCTATCATCTACCTACCTACCTACTTACCTACCTACCTACCTAAAATTAAAAGTCTTGCAAAGATAGTATAGGAGCTGGGTACTGGTGGCTCACACCTATAATTCTAGCTACTCAGGAGACTGAGATCTGAGGATCGTGGTTCAAAGCCATCCTGGGCAGGAAAAGTCCATGAGACTTAAATTGGGTCTTTTTAGTGTGGAAAGAGAGAAGATGAGGGAAGGAGAGTAAAAGGAAGAGAGAAAAAGGAAGAGAAAGGGAAGAAAGAAGAGGGGGGGAGAGTGATTTGATAGATTTGGGGAAGTAGAAGTCACTTTGATCCACTTTGATCACTTGGAGTTACAGGAAGTTGTAAACACCACCTGCACAAGATGGCCGGAAGTGCTGAGAATTAAAACACTCTGAAATAATCCTTCAACCAATGACCAGCTCAATTCACTTGCTCTATAAGCAAGATAATTCTACAGCATGTGTTCTTCACAGAGATGTCTAATGGACTGGATCTCCAGCTGCTAGCAGTGGAAATGTATTGGAAAGCAAGCCCTTTATTGACTGCCTTCCTTTCTGGGTTATTCAGCTGTTTGTCAATGCAATCGGAGCCTAAGACAAATTATTTTAAAAGAGGAGAGATGTATTTTTGGCTCACAGTGTTCAAGGTTTCAGCTCAAGGTTGTCTAGATCCGCTGCTTTGGGGATGAGATGAGACAGAACATTATGGAGTGGGAGTGTGTGTCTCATGGGAGACAAGATGAGACCAGGGTAAGATTGCCCTTCAAAGACTCAACTCCAGTGATCTACTTCCTGGATGCAGGCCCCACCTGCCACAATTCTAGCATCTTCTGACCTAATAGTCTCCCCCAAATCTAAATCATCAGTGGCTTAAACCATTGAGTTGGGTCAGAGACCTCAGAAGCTAATCAGACACACTCAGAAGGACGCACATTTTAGTAATCTCCTAGGTATCACTCAACCCAGTCAAGTTGACAATCAAGATTAGCCAGCACACTTTCCCTTCCCCAGTGCTTTGGGTGATCATTTGCTGTGGTTTAAGTCATTCATTCCCTCAAAAAGTATATGTGTTGGGAAGTTCTTCTTCCCCAGGCTCAGACTGGTAAATGATAGAACCTTTGAGAGATAAAGCTTAATGGGAAATCCTTAGGTGAATTGAAAATATGCCCTCATAAGGAATGAAAATGTTTATCATGGGACCCTGACTGACGCTCTTAAGAGGATTGTTGTAAAAATCTGACTCTGTCCCATCCAGTTTTTCTCCTGGTTACCTAAGCAATGGTTCTATTGCTTTATTTGTTTTCTTTACAGGAGATCTAGTGGAGACAGAATGAAGCATTCCTGCTACCACCAAAGACCAAATGCCTCCTGTAATCACACCTGCTCTCCATTTGCCTAGCCAAGGAGGCTCTTATCCACATGGGAGTAGCTGAAGCTTCCTAGCACCTCTCATGCCCTTTGAGAATCTTTTCTTCCATTCTTCTGTCTTCTAAAGTTTAACCTCCTCACGCTGTACCTGCATATTTTTAGTGGTTCCTCTTTGCCAGTGATTGTCTTGGTGTACAGAATTAGCTCTTCCATTCTTGGGCCCCGGACCAAATGTGGAAAGAAAGAGTTTTAAAAGCATTTGTCCATGGACGCATTGAGATATTTGAATACATGCTTTTATGCCAAGTTTACAATAATCCTTCCCCCCTAAAAAAGAGTCTTCAATGTTCTGAAATTTTCAGACCTCCTTTGTATCTTTGTACAAAGAGAATGATGATAGCTCATAATTATCCACATTCAAAAAAAAAAAAAAAAAAGAATAAGCAAAGCTTGGCCTGGTGGTTCACACCTATAATCTAGGCACATCGGAGGCTGAGGTAGGAGGTTTACTAGTTTAAGACCTTCTTGATCCACAAAGTAAGCTTCAAGCCAGTGTGAGCTTCATGGTGAGACTGCCTCAAAGAAAGCAAAAGCCAACAAAAACACTGGAAGAATGTTCTAATTGTCCCTAATTGCCTAACTAGAACCCACAAAGATGCACCAAATCCCACTTCATCATTGCCAACAGTGATCACAGAATTTATCAGGGCCTTTGATTATATGGTTGGGTAGCTGCAACATAATCACTCACCAGGGGGTACCACTTCTTATGAAGCACCCTGAGCAGCACAGAAATACCTACGTAGCAGCCTACGGAGGAAAGCAAAGGTGATGGCACCCAGCCAAAAGGACTCCATACTTCAAGGTATGTAGTCCAGCACGCACTTGCTGTGCTTTAAGCCATGCGTTGGGAAGTTCTTCTTCCCCAGGCTGATTGGTAAATGATAGAACCTTTGAGAGATAAAGCTTAGTGGGAAATCCTTAGGTCAATTGAAAATATGCCCTCAAAAGGAATGAAAATATTTATCATGGGACCCTGACTGGCCCTCTTAAGAGGGTTGTTGTAAACATCTGACTCTGTCCCATCCAGTTTGCCTCAGGAGTAGAAGCATGCACGGTGTGGGACACACTGTGTCCTCCAATAGGCAAGGGAAGCTCAGCCTGACAGAGCCTGGGCTGCTTCTAAGGATCATGTTATTAAAATAGCTACTGAGCCAAAGGCTGCGATTCCCAAAGCCACTCCGAATTCATGGAACAGGAGGGAGAGATGAGGTCACCCCCCTAAGGGTCAGCTGCGTCCCCAGATGTGTTCTTACCTCAGCTCTCACTTGAAGAGAGCCAGAGAACGGCTCCCCATGGGGAAAGTGTGGGGACCCGTGCCCACACATCCACAGCAGACCCAGCACCTGGCCTGGCCTGGCAGCCTGGAGGGGGCCCCGCCTCTCCTCCTCTGCCAAACATTGTTCCTTGTACTTGGCTGGGCTTTTGCAGCTTTGAACACCTAACAATCTTTCCCCAGAGGGCCTCACCCACTTTACCTCAGCTCTACCCTATCCCATCCCTTGGCCAAACATGTAATTATTGGACCTGAAAAGCAGCCTGAGATACCAAGTGGGGGGGTGTAGGGGGACAGGGCAGCCCCTAGCAAGTGCCAGACTGTTAAGTTTTTCTTCCTAAAACATCCCTTCACTGTGGTCATCTACATCAGCCTCTTATTACCTCCCTCACATGTGTGGAGCCACAACAAGAGTAAAGCAAACACTCCATCCTTTGGCCTGTCACCTTCCCTTCCCTTCCCTTCCTGCTTTCTGGCTTTGTGTCCAGTCCCATCTCCAAGCAACAGCCCCCCCACCCCCGTCCTGTCCCCCCCACCCCATCTCCCACTCTTGAACCTTTGCATATCCGTTATCCTTTGGTGGGACCAAACTGGGAAAGAGACTCCTGCAGCATATTAGCTATGACTCAGACCCATCTGGGCAGAGAATGCTCAGGTCCTAGATGTTCAAGATGCAATCTTGAAGAGTCTTGGCTCCAGGAAAGGACAGTCACTCTCAGAAAGAGAACAGAGCTGAGCTCCAAAGAGAGGAGCCTGGGCAGAGTTGCTCATTGTGTGTTGTGTGGCATAGGGTCATGTTCCTGGCACCCACTGATGAAAAGGGTTCCTAGTGACTAGCATTTTTCAGTCTTCACACCGAAAAGATTTGGGCTGGATCCAATCAAGTTTTGTGGCAGAGGAGGGTGACTATAGTTATTGTTTATTATTTCAAAATAGCCATTAGAGAAGATTTTGAATTATCCTGCACACAAAAAAACCAACATGATAAAGGTTTGAGATGGTGGATATGCTCATGATCATGATTTGATCATTGGGTATTATATAGAAGTGTTAAAAATATCACATGGTATTCCATGAATATGTGTAATTATTTTGTTGTTTGATTTTTTTTTCTTTAGAAAAGAGATCTTCTCAATTCAGCAGCAAATATACTAAAATTGGGAGGATACAGAATAGATTAGCATGGCCCCCTCCCAAGGATGGCATACAAATTCCCGAAGCACTCCATGTTTTTCAAATGGTGTAACTCCTTTGGACAACTATCGTACAGCTTGATAAAATGAATACCAGGAAGCTGAAACATGTGTTGAGGGGGAGGGTCGTGGGGAAAGGAGTCGCTGGATAGAGAAAGGAAGGTGAGTGAATGCAGTCCTAATAGTCAACGCATTTCTGTGAAAATAGAACCAGGTAAATTGAGGGGCTGGTGGGTCGGGGGGGATGAGTGAGAACGGCAAAAGGAGTGCATGGGTCAGGAGGCACTGTACTAAGAAGCTGACCTGCTGTGTTGAAAGCCCTTTGTACACTGCTTAAGGATGATAAGGGATTCTAAAAATTAAAGGAGACAAAACTGTGGATGGCTCCCATCCTCCTCTTTTATACAATGTTACTGGCAGCCTTCTCTGCAGTTGGAAGCCAGCTTGACTTCCCAAATCATTTCCATCCCCTACCTGAACATTCTGTGATCAACAAACAGGATCTTAAAAGAGAATAGACCCTTGGGGCTAAGGATCATAAAAGAAACGACTTCTGTGTCCTTTGAGAATGGAGGAGGCCGCTGCCCTTTTCTCTGTCCTCTGCTCAGCTGTCTTTGTTTTGTTCCACTATGTGACAATAAGTAATTACAGAATATGGTTAAAGTGCCATGGAAATACACAAACACAGTAACAGACCTTACAAGCTCACCATTAGAAATGTGGGTGGCCTAAAGGAAGAAAGAAAGAAAAGGGGGTGGGGGCATTCGAACAAAGACTCCAAGGAGACGAGGAAGTGGTCTGTGTGGCCCTCTGTGACAGGAACCATTCCGATAGAGGGAACGGCTGGAGCAAAGGCCTTAATGGATGGTGATTTATCTGTCCAGAAATCTAGGAAGAGGTGAGGAAGTTAATGTACCTGAAATGGAACCAATCATAGGCATAGCTCAGAGGATGTGTCCTAGATGATGTGGGCAGGAAATCTGTAGGTCAAGAACCTTCACTCGCTGATGAGTAAGATAAAAGAAGGATTTGGGAAAGATTTGGAGCCCCGAGGCTGTAATAGAATGACTCTGGCTGCCATTGTAGATAATAGACAAGATCAGGGACAGAAAGACCAGAGAAGAGGCTGCAGCTGTGGTCTAAGCCACAGGTGATGGGAACACAAACACTGTGCATGTATTGAGCCATAGATTCAGTGGGGTGCTCTTGATTTCAGCATTTAGGAGACCAACAGCCACTGTAGAGCTAGTCCAAGTCACCAGAATGCCACAAAGAACAAAGAGTAACTGGTGGGAACAGCTTCTACTTGTTATGAAAGATCCGTAGGAGACACAGCTCTTCACCTCTTGCCCCTCCCCTCAAGTTTTTACCCCTTCCCCCCAATTCTTCATGCATCTCATCCAGAAATGATTCTGCTGCCAGTTTATCATCTTCTCATTGAACCACTATCCACATCTCTAAAAGAAAGTATAATTGTTCCTCGATAGGTGGACAGATCGAGAGATGCATAAATTCCAAAGAATTAGAAATGCAGCTACAAAGGCCTCTACTTCTAGGCATATGTATGTAGTGATGTTAAAAACAGTACATCAAGAATTGACTAGTCTAGTGTTGGGTGTTGTTACTAAGTAGCTGAGGGACAATAAGCAAATGTCTCAAATCTCTACTTCTGCCTTTGAAAGATGACATGAGAAGAGAGACAGGGACCCCTAAGGACAACTGAAGGTTGCTAAAGCTCCTGTTTTTTACCATGCCACAAGCCTTTATTTCCTTTCCTCTCTTCCTAACTTGCTAGACCTCTCTTCCAATTAAATTGCTTTCCTTGCTTGCCTCTGGAGCTTCTTCCGCCATGTGCCTTTTGCTTCCAGTAGATGGCAGTATTCAGTTTTGTTTCCAGTTGGTATTTCTTTTGCCTGTTGGAGGACCTGAGCCAGCTGCCCTCTCTGGCAAGCTTGTGTCCTTTTTACATTCCAGATGATCCTAGAAGAGGAAAAGAAGGGCAGGACTGATGGGTGGTGCGGGGCCTCTCCAAAATGCTTGGTGATTCCAAGTAGCTTCACCTTGCTTGGCAGGCAAGGCTTATCAAACTTTGGGGTGATGGAGACAAAACAACTGTCCTGTCTTCCACGTTCCAATGGACCTTCTAGCTCCTGGGACCCTTCAATGCTCAGTGGTAGTTAACTGCCGCCCTCGTTTATATTGGGTATACCTAGAAGTTGTAACAAGATGACTTTGGTTACTGTTTTTTGAGAAGAAACAGGGTTAGAAGCAGAGATAGACTTTAAGAAACTTGGTTATGGCAGGAGATGTGGGTAGTTGCAGACTGGCCTCAGTGGAGATGGACAGTAGTAGACAGGCCTCTGGGCATGTTACCTCATGGACCTGGGTCTCTGATGCTGTTGTTCATGAGTAGAAGGGGAGACTCAATTCCTCTGGGCTTCTGAAGCTACTTGCTGCTCTTGGGTTCTATGGAAATCTGAAAGGAAGTTGATCTACCTGTAGCTTTTAGTCCTTCACCAAAGGAGACATTTGGGGTTAGTAGTAGAGTGGGGACTGGGGGCCAGATCTTTCATGAGTGATTCACCAGATCACTAAATATAAAAGTATCTATTTCAGTAGATGGGTTTCCTTTCTTCTCTGATGAACTCCCATCTAGGAAAACCAGTAATGTGTACTAAGATCAAAGCAAGCTACTCTGGTTCAAAGAGAATAGAGTCCTGGGCCACCTTCCCACAGACTACAAGGAACAGAGGAAAAAAAACACCAGCAGAGAGGATGCAAAAGCCCTGCTAAGGAGTTCTGGAATTTTCCATATGCTGTGCTCTGACCCATGTTAAGGGAGGCATTCTGATACCAGCTGGTCTGAGTGGGGAAAATTCTGTAGAAGAGAAAATACAATGAAGGTTGGAAGAATGTTTCTGGGGGTGTCAGGTGGGTGGGTGTTATCTTGGGGTGGGTAGTGTAACATTCCAACTTTTAAAAAAACACAGTCTTTTATGGTGCCTAACTGCCTATAAAATCAAGTTCAGATTTGCTCACAAAGATAAAAGAGTTTCATGATCTGCCCTCTATTGAGATCTCTAGCTTTGACAGCAGTCTCTCTCTCTCATATGTCATTGTAGGTGACCTTGACACTTCTGCTCATTCAGGAAAACATTGTCTCTAAATCTTCCTTCATAGCCCTGGTAAACATCCATAGTATTTTGTACACAATACTGTTCGATGTATGTTACAGTGTTTGTTTTCCTGTCAGTATCCTCCCTGGTCTGTCACTTGCTTAAGGATTGCCACCTTGTCTTATCGATCTCAAGCATTGAATGTGATCCAAGCAAAGGCCTCACTGTGCTGAATCTGTGAGGAACAGATGTCTCATAGGAGGTAAGAAGATGATCAAAGCAAAGATGCTAAAGGATGATTAGACATTTATGACAGAAAGAGTTCATCAAACATAGCCACCACTGCCTTGCAGGAAAATATATCCAGCCCTGTGTTACCTAACAACATTTCAGTGAACAAAGGATCATGTATACGATGGTCTCAGAAGATTATAATAGAGCTGAAAATTCCTACTAGGGTCTTTTCTACGTCGAGATATGTTTAGATACTATGATGTTCCAAATACCGATAGTGTTCAAAATAGTAATGTGCTGTGCAAGTTTATAGTCTAGGATCAATTGGCTAGACCATATGACATCAGAGTGTAGTAGGCCAGGACATTTAAATCTTGTAAATATATACTATGATATGGAACTACAACGAAATCACCTGAGGATGCATTTCCCAAGGTTTCTATATCCTTAAGCAATATATGCATGTACGTATGTAACCAAAATGCTTAATGATAAAATAATGAGGAGATGGCATAATTGCAGTATTCTTACATATCAGTGTCCTATCAGAGTTGTTTTACAGTCTAATGGGCAAATGAAACGAGTATAATGAAGAAAATCATAATCCATGAATTCAGCATACATAACAGTTCAACTAGTACTGTTTGATATTATGGCTCTTTCGGGGGGGGGGGGCGGGATAATCAAATCCTAAGTGATTGTGAAAATAAAGTTCTGGAAATTTTGATCTACTTGAACAAAAATGATTACTATAAAATTAATGGAAATTTGAAGTCCATTCATATAAATCTGAAATGCAGTTTAATAAATGCTATCAGTTTTAGTAAGTGGAAATAAACTTTTAAAAAAAACTCAGTAATATGTATTTGAAGTGGATTTTGTATGGAAGACATAGGTGTTGTTCCACATGCTCTGATTATAATAAAATACTCTAGAGAGGACAGTCTTCCTAGTTTAATTAAAAATGAAATTCTTGAATCTCATAATTTCCCCATATTTCAGTTTCATGCTTTTGTAGATTGAACTACATCTTTTGTAGGTCAGTGCAGAACATTTCTAGATACTCAATTTTTCTTTTGAGTAAAATGAGATAAAGAGACAAGAGAGAGCTGGGAGGGAAAAAGGAGGCCGGGAGTAGGAAAAGGAGGAAAGAAGGAAGACAGGCAGAAACGCAAAAAAGGAGAGAGGGAAAAAAGGAAGGGAAGGAGGTAGGGAGGGTAAAAGAAAGGAAAGAAGAATGGAAGGAAAGAGGGAGAAAATAGAAGAAAGAAAGGCAGAAAATCTAATTCATAAGTTTGAAAAAAATTGACAGACATTAATGTACAACAGTTTCCCAGTACAGATGCAGCTTTATAATCTTCCTCCACTCAATCTGTAGAAGTCTAACACATTATAAAGGATATGAAACCTTTTTGAAAACTAATACACTCAAAGTACACACATTCTCAAAGTACACATATACCATAAGCACTGCTGTTATGAAACAAAGCTCAATTTTTGAAAACTGCCAAGGGGGTAAAAAGAATTTATTGTTCGTTCCCTTTAAGTCATTCTCCTTCTGCATACTTTCTGTTACCCATACATAAACTTAGTTCCATGATCTGTAAAAAAGAATTGATGTTTGATTGCCAAAATCCATAGGATAGCTTATCTGGGCCCAAATATGAATAAAGTCCCAGATCCATGTAAAG